ATACATCTTTGTCACAGCTATTTAACTCTGTCATTATAGTATAAAATAAGTCGTAGACAATATGGAAAAAATGAACACAGCTATAGCCCAATAATTATCTACTAAAACAGGCGGCAAGCAGGATTTGGCCAGAGCGTGACAGTTTGCCAACCCCTGCCACACATCACCCAAACTTATCCAGGCTTGGTGATGGACACCTGGGGCAAGGCAGAAGGACCATGAGCCCAAGGCTAACCTGGAGTATACAGTAAGGCCATGTATAACATGAAATGGAATAGAGCTGGGGTGGTGGGACAGGCCTGGAGTTCCGGCACTCCGGGAGGCTGGGCAGGATGATCACAAGTTGAGCCTCACTGGGGCAGTTTAATGACTTAGTGAGACCATGTCTCAAAGTAAAACAAAGCAAAGGCTGGGGATGTGGCTCAGTGCTGAAGCTCGACTCCCTGGCTAGGAGAGGAAACAGGGGCTCTCCGCTCCATTCACCTGTGTGGGCTTGAGGGATTTGCTCTCCAGCTTCGGCCTGCACTAAGATGTCTAGAAGCCTTCACAACGGCACTGATATGCTCTATACTGGACTCTGTTACAAAAACAGTGGAACGTTAGATGCTTCTGTAGATCTAATAGAGGCCTGAAGTTTTCATTCTGGAAGTTTATGCTGTGACTATGTAAGATTTTCAAAACGGATACTGGAAAAAAAACAAAGCCAGACACTGTACCTTGGAGTGAAGGTGTCCATTCTGAAAACAGCCCGCCTTCACTCTTGAAAATAACAGGCAATGCCAGCCATGTGTGGCTGGGGGTACATTTCTCTGTAGACCATGGTACAGAAAAATGATGGCTTGTGACCATAAACTTCAGAAGTAAATGAAGATGTCTATAAAATGTAATAAATGCTGGAGATGCTTACACATGAAGCAAATCGGCAGGAACGCCTTCCAAAGACGGGTAGTGTTCAGGTCGGGGGCGCAAGCTCAGAGAAGTCCCAAGTGGGCTGCTGTCAGAGAACTATAGTTCCCAAGTAGATTTGCATACACGAAGTGGTACTTCTAATGTGTTTTTTTCTTAATTCGACTCTTAAAGCTACAACATGCTACTCATCATAGGCAGGTGACAGGTGACACACTGAAGATGGTGTAGGCAGAGCCGGTTGCCTTCGCAGCGGGAGGGGGCCGCTGCAAACAGCCAGGTGGTGACTTTCACCTGCTTACAGGAGCACAGGTTGGGGTGTGGAAGGACCTGCTGGCTTTTACAAAAGCGGGCACACATCCTGCTTCTGTCCCATGGTGTGCAGGTGTCAGTGCAGAGTCCAGGCCAGTGCCCGCTGGGCACGGCAGTGGCTTTACGTGGGCTCCGCGGTGCCCCGCAGTCCACAGCGGCCGTGCTGGCTGTCCCGCACCCCTCTCTGGCGAGTGGCTGTGTTCTGTTTTCATTCCGCGCAGTCTATAGTTTTGCATTGCCTCTTTTTTTCTTAGTCAGCCCTCCACGGTTATCTGTCTTTTCTTAAAGAATCAGCTTTTGGTTTCTGCGTCCTTTCTCTTGTGATTTTTCTGCTATTTCATTAATTTTACGTTTCCCTACATTAAATACTTTTTGTTCTCTTTTTATTTGTGCTGATCTTTTTATGCCTTCTTCTGTTAAGACTTTGTCTCTTGATATTACTTCCTTTTTTAGCTAATAAATACATTGAGAAGTATATTTTTCCCCCTTCTTATCTTAATACAAGTTTGGTTGTGCCTCTGGAGTTTTAGAACTCTCTTTTTAAAATTTAATATTACTTTATCTATTTTTGCTTGTGGTACTGGGAACTGCACTTGCTGGTGACACAAGGCCTTCCCAGTGTTTCATCTCCAGCCCGTTTTAAAATTGTTTAATTTGAAGTTTTGAGACAGCGTCTCACTAAATCTCCGTTTCCCAAACTGGGCTTGAACGTGGGGTTCTCCGGCTTCACCCTCCTGGAGGACCGACCGGGGTACAGGCATGCGCAGCCACACCTGGCTCCTTTCATTCCCTCGAGGGTTTCTTTCTCACTTTCCAGGCTTGCCGAGGTGGCTCAAGCTCACTTCCTCCTCCTTCCCCTCCTTTCCTGGAGACTTAACCCGGTGCTTTGTGCATAGCAGGCAAGTGCCCCGCCAGGGAGCTCCCCTCTCAGCTCTCAAGTGTATGTCTATTTCATCTTCCCCCAGTGGAGGTGGAAGCTCTTACTGTGTCTTAGTTCCTTTTTTTTGTACTGGGAAATGAACTCATGACCTCACACTTGCCAGGCAGGTGCTGTGCCACTGAGCTAAATCCCCAGCCTCCTTCGTTCTGTCAGTAGCGAGACCACCCTGAGAAGCTACAAATTGATATTTTTATTTTACTTTGTCTCCTCATCATAATGCATTACTTTCTAGCTCCTCCTTTGAGCAAATATGAAGTCTCTTTTACTCTCCTACTCCGTAAACATCCTTATGTCCTATGCAGGTGCTTCGACTTTGAGAGGCTGCGTTAGTTCGGGACTGTTGCTTCCTGAAAGTGAACCTCTGGCTTCAGGGATCTCTGTTTGCAACTCCTAATGTAGTGTGCCTTCCCATCACCTGTTTAGCATTAACTGAGTTTACGACCGTCAGAGCTGGCTGCTGTTTCCTCTTTCGTAGCTTATAATAGTAAAGCGATGCTGATGGTGTCCATAGTCGTTGTTTCTATGACTCTAATAGAAGCCAGCTACTGTTCTGGGACCTTGCCTAAGTCACCTCGCTTCACCTTCGCACTGGCAGGTGAGGCAGTCAGCGTGCAGGTGGAAACACTTCTTGGAGTCACACAGGGTGCGGCTTCTCTGGCTTTGGAGACCACGCTCCTAACCCCTGAGCTCTTCAGGCATCTTGAAGACCAGTTATCCTGTAACTGGAATTTTGGGTACAAACCAGGACAGAGGCCGGAAGAAGAAGGTGACATGGATGGCCTGGTTCACTCCATATAAGCAGCTTCTGTTCTATAGATTACCGCATAGAGATGGCAGCTCCAGGGGTAGATGGATGGCCTGTCAATATGGGGTTGGCATGCATAAAAATGAACATTATTATTGCATGTGGTCATTATTATTTATTTTGAAGAGGAACTACGGGCCTCTCTCTCCCTGTCTCTCTGCCTCTTTCTGTCTCTGTCTCTGTCTATTTCTCTCGCTCTGTCTTTTTGCCTGTCTCTATGCCTCTCTCTGTCTTTGTTTCTGCCTCTCTGTCTCTCTGACTCTGTGTCGGTATCCGTGTCTCCCCTGTCTCCCCATTTCCAATACAGACAGAAATGCCTGTCATTATGGGACACTGGAAGGGCTGGAATAACTGTCTAAGCTAAGTATATAAATTTGAAGAACATGGGCAAAAGTGACACATTCCCCCAAAATAAGACTTACCTGGAAAGTAAACCCTAGCTGGTCTTTACGGTGGTGCTAGCCGGCGGACGCGGCTCACTATCCCTGGCTCGGTGGCTCTGTGTAATGGCAGGTGATGGAGGCTGGCATTTTTGGTCGTTGTTTTCAAGGCTGTTTGTTTTTGGTTAGGTCTTATTTTGGGGGAAATAGAATGTTTTGTGCTTACTTGCAAAGTGAGTGGATGTCGGTGAAGAGTGGAGCCTTGTCCATGTGCTCCTGTCCCACAGAGATGGTGTCGCTCTCCTGGCCTTCACAGAAGGGTGAGGACCAGGGTGCCCGAGTCCCACAGCACTGTTTACACCACCTACATGGTCCACGGTGTTCGCTGGATGCTTGTGATGTCCCCAGCAAATGCAGGGACTTAGAAGAGACACCATCATCGTAAAGATTCTTGTTCTCAAGAGTCTTGAAAACATTCTTGGTGATAGTTTGAGAGGCAAACTGACGTACAAGAGCTAATAATAGAATGTGGACCCAGATGGTTCATTGTGTGGTACTGCCAGGAAGCATATGTATTCAGGAAATGGGGATGAAAGAAGGCATTTTGGGAAAAAAAGGAATTTGGAAGAGGCCTAATGGAACTTGTTCCCTGGGAGAGGAGCAAGAGCCGAATGAGCAGCGTGGTAACAGTGACCTGAGGTCCCGGGATCAGCCAGGGACAAACCAAGGAGGGAAGGCAGCTGGGACGGATGGATCTGCCTGTTTTCAACTAGGTCAATTTGAAATTGACCCTTCAAGTAATTTCCAAAAACTAAAATAAAACCATACCTCCCAGGTGAATATGAAATAAATACATGCAAAAGATCCTATTTAACTCATGAACTGTGAAGGAGTCAGCACGATATTAAAGAGTAGTGAGAATCGAGACCCTGGATGGATAGAGAGCAGATCTGCCAAATCGGAGCCAGCCACTTTAATAAATAAATAAGCAAATGAATGAATATATATCCGCTTAGATGCAAAACTAGCTGATGTCTTACTGTACCACAAATGCCAGTGCCCGCTGGATGGAAGTTATTTGTATCTCTACTAGGAAAAAAATCTCTAGGCACATGATGTACTACACTGGGATGTTTAACACATTCCTCAGTATGAAGTTGTGACCAGAACTAAGTGTATTCAGGAGAGCCTTGGCCGCATACGACCTTGTAAAGATGTGTTGCTCTCCATCTTCTTTTTATTCTTAAGGATGATTTAAAAAAATAATGCTGACCTGCAAAGAAGTGGAGACAAAACTGGCTCCCTGCAGGGCCCTGCTGCAGCTCTGCAGATGGAGCCCCTGCCTATTCTTTGTTCTAGACTTGGTTTAATAGCACAGAGAAACCCCTGGCCTATCATCCCACCTCTTCTTCCATCAGCTTCTACATTAGCATGTGGATAGAGCTTGCTCTCACTTTGATCAGGATGTGGACAGGCGGAAGTGAAGCCTGAGATGGATTCTGATGAGAAGGGCTAGTTCGACCCCTCCTCAGGGCCCCAGGGCTGCTGCACCTGCTTGTGCTGGGAGGAGCAGGTGCCCAGTGCAGGACACTTGGTTCTATAGGCTGCTAACTCCTCTCTGTCTCGCTGGCTCTTCCGACCTGGAATTGCCGGGCAGTGTGTTGCAGGCGCCATGTACATCACCGGCTTTGCAGAATCCATCTCTGATTTGCTGGGCCTCAGGGACATCTGGACTGTGCGAGGAATCTCAGTTGCGGTGCTCGCGGCCTTGCTGGGCATTAATCTGGCAGGTGTCAAATGGATAATTCGCCTCCAGCTGCTGCTGCTGTTTCTCCTGGCTGTGTCCACACTAGACTTTGTGGTGGGTTCGTTCAGCCACCTGGACCCAGGTAAGACCCAGAGTATGGTTTGTGGCCCGTGGGTCTGCGAGCTGTTGTAGGTATCTATGCGTGCAAATCTGCAGACTGAGCTCCTGCTGCAGGGTGCACCTGCACGAGGGGCTGATCAGGTATTCTATCAGCTTCTTGGGCCCACACGATGCTACACACACACACACACACACACACACACACACACACACACACACACAGTTTTCCCATGTTTTCATTTCTTTTTCATCAAAACAAAGCCCAGAAAATATAGCAGGATGAAAATCAGAAGTAGGTGAATAAAAATCAAATTTATAACAGTGATTGAGAGACAGCAAGAAATAAATATGGGGGTAGAGAAGAAAGATAAACTGTTTCTGTCATCTTTTGGGGTTTTTTGGGACATTTTAATATAAATATAAAAAGCATTAACACTTGTCCTTTCTGACAGATGGAGTCAGGTATGTGTTTGATTATTTGTGGTTTTCTGTACCAAATTAATTGTCAAATAAAAATGTAAAGCCACCAGCTAAGCTTAAAGAATGCCATCAGGTGTCACTGTGCCCCGTTGGGGGAGGTATTCCTGTCTTTGAAACTAAACCGTGGACGTTTAATCTCTTGTTCAGTCTCCCTCATCCTTGAGGACTCTAGGCAGCTCTGGTGCGAGGTCCTCCTGCTCTGGGAGAGACGCAGTCTCCCCGAGTGCCCGCGCATTTGTGGCCTTCTGCTCACTCAGCACTGGCTTGGCATCAAGGGCAAGCCTGTTTCCAGTGGACAGTGATGTTTCTAGGGTGCTGTAGAGGAAGATGGCGACAGTGGCCAGGCATCTACACTGTAACATGGGTGAGGAGAGGAAGACAACGCCACCAGCAACGTTTAAAGAGAGCAGCACGCACGTGCACGCGTGCCGGGATGGTGGTGGTGACTGACTGCATTTGACTGAGCACTTGCTCTGGGCCACACGTCGTGCCTGGCATTTTACCTGGCCCAGCACAATTGCCCATGTCATAACCTCTGAGATAAGAGCAGTGATACCTGTTGCAGAGAAGAGGAAACTGAGGCTCAGCACTGCTATAATGCTGCCTTTCCCTTCGGAGGCTGCCTGATGTGTTCTCTAAACAGCCTTGTCTTTTACAAAAATGTCAGTGTCTAAAGTCAGGATTCAGTTGACACTCATGGGTCTGGCCTTATCATTTCATCCCGATGGCTCTCCTGTCCCAAAACAGGCTCCTCTGAATTCTCTGAATGTTCCCTCCCCTGGCATTCTGGGCCTCCCCAGGACCCCTGCCTGCCCCAAGCTCAGGCACCTGGGTCAACTCCCGAACAGAAGGGCCCTCCAGACCCACTCCTGTGCTGAGGGCCACGGCGCCATCCTCAGCAACCACGCAAGCGTGGGCCGTGCTGCCCACTGAGGCAGAACCTTCACTGTGGGGAAGAAAGCCTCGCAGCACACTGCAGAAGGGGCCCCACATGACGAGGGCTTCCTGGCCCTTAGCTGCCCGGGCTCCCCTCTGCACAGTACCACAGGAGCACGAGGGCACGACTGCAGGGCAGGCTCCTGGCGTCCTTGAAACTTTCCTAGACTGCTGTATCTCCCTCCTTCCTGATCTGAGCTTTCATGGCCACTCTTCTAAGTTCCTCCAAATATTTTTCCTTCCTCCTGTAACAGGGTGTGTGTGAACCAAAATTTATTCTCAGTTCTTTCTATGGCAACTGGCCCCTCGCCTCGAGATCCTGCTTTTGGTATCCCTCAGTTTCACATGGCTTGGCTTGGCTTGGCTCTTTCTTTCTTTCTTTTTGCTGTTAAAAGTCCACACTGTAACCAGACTGTAAACCTGCAGAATGGATTTAGCAGGATGATTGTCTATCTGTTGAGATGATACATCTGTACTATTTCATTCCTATTTTTCTTGAATTGAGTAGTTTTACTTTTCACAAAATTAACAGGCATTTGGGGAGCAGTTTCCGGGATCTAGAAACTAGAGAAGAGTTTCCCGTCTGCCCTTCCCTTCCCCGGCCGCCCCCTCCCGCTAACATTCGTCTTACACTTAGCAGCGCATTGTCAGAACTAATGGACCAACCGGGGGCCTTCTTGCTCACAAAGCCCGTGAGGCAGGGCTCACTCTTGGTGTTGTGTACTCCCTGGTGTTGACTGTGTGCGATGCTGTGTATCCACCATCGCAGTACTGCACAGAACCCTTCCCTGCCCTAAACGTCTGCTGGGCTCCACCTCTCCATCCCGTTCCCCCAGAGCACCTGGTAACCCCTGTCTCTCCCCTGTCTCCCTAGGTTAGCCTTGTCCAGGGTGCCCTAGAGTTGGAATCATGCTGCATGTCACCTTTTCAGATTGGCTTCTTCTGCTTAACAGTATGCACTTAAGCGTCCTCCATGTCTTTCTGTGGCTTCACAGCTGGTTCCTTTTTTTAATCACTGAATAATCTATTGAATGAATACACCACACATCTTTTTCCTATATAATTATTGAGGCACATATTGGTTACTTCTGGTTTGAGGCAATTATGAATAAACCCGTGTTATGTATCCTTGTTCAGTTTTTGTGAGGATTTCAATTCATTTGGATAAATACTGAAGAACATGACTGCTGGATCATCTATTAAGACGTAGGATACCTTTAAAGAAACTGCTGCCATGTGTGATGGTGCACACCTATAATCCCTGCTACTCAGGAGGCTGATGTAGGAGGATTACAAATTCAAGCTCAGCCTGGGGAACCTAGTAGGTCTCTGTTCCAAAATTAAATGAATAAGAAGAGCTTGAGATGTAGCCCAGCAGTCCCTGGATTCAGTTTCAAGTACTAAAAAAAAGTGGTCTACAGCAATGATAAAAAGAAATTTCCAAACTGTCTTCCAAAGAGGCCGGGCCGCTTGGCCCCTTACCCACCGCAGCTGGGACTCTCCATGGCCCCGCGCCATCGCCAGCCCTTGTTCTCAGGTTCCGGCTCTGGGCTGTGCCCTAGGTGTGCCGTGGGGCCAGCTGTGGCTGTAATTGCAGTTTCTTAGTAACGCGTGACACGGAGTGTGTTTGCTGGTGCTCATTTGCCATCTGGTTATCATGTTGAGTGAAATATCTGCTGCCCTTTTTAAAATTAAGTTGTTTGTTTTCTTACCGTTGAACTTTAAGGGCTGTTTGTGTATTTTGGATGCAAACCCTTTGTCAGATATGTGTTTTGTAAAAAAATTTCTCCTGGTTTGTGATTTGTTTTTCATGCTCTTAACAGTGCCTTTTGTAGAACAGGATTTTAAAATTAGGCAGGAGTCTAACATCCTAATTTTTCTTTCCTGGATCATGCTTTGAGCGTTACCTCGATGTTCTTCCACGGAATCGTCTAGAGGTCTTACGTTTCACTTGCGTCTACAGTCCATTCTGAGTAATTCCAGTGAAGGGTGTGGGTTGTGTGTGTGTGAGTGGCTATCTGGTTGCTCCAGCACTGTCTGGTGACAGTGTCATCCCGTGCCCCTGAGCTCCTTTGTCAGTGACCGTGACTGCATTTCATGCGGTCTGTTTCTGGGTTGTCTATTGTGTTCTGTGGATCCGTGTACCTATTCTTGTTCTGTTCCACTCTGCCCTAGATATTGTTGCTTTATAGTTAAGTCTCGAGGTTGGGTGGTGCTGATCCTCCAATGTAGTCGTCTCTTACTTGTGTGACTTTTAAAATCAGCAAACAATTTAAGCATTCTTAAGCTTAACTTTATTCATTTCTTTCTTTATTATTATTTTGTTTTTCTGGAACCCAGAGCCTGGTGCAAAGGAGGCAAATGCTCTACTGAGCTATGTCTACCCAGCAACTTTTTCTGTAAATATAAAAAACTAGGAGTCAAAAAAAAATCCTGAAATATATAATGTTAAGGTATAAAAAGTAAATGAAAAACTGTTACTTTTTTATCCTATTTCTCTTCAGAGGAAAATTGGTACACATATCAGTTATCTACTGCTGTCAAGCAAATTTCTCAGTAATATAGTGGCATACAGCATCAGCCTCTGTCTGCTCCCCTTTGGGCTGAGCGCTTGGCTGTGTCTTGGGCAGGTAGTGGCTTGAGTCGCTCTTTCCATCAGGGTCAGCTGGGCTGCAGGGTCACTGCTGTCAGTGTTGGTAGGACACTGTTTCCCATCCTGCCAAGGCATACTTGAGTGTCCTCAGGGCAAGAGCTGATTGATGGCCCCAGACCAATCAGACGGAGACAGAGAAGGTGAGAGCATTCCTGATTATGATCCAGTGTTAGAAGCCACAGAGCACTGCTGTCTCACAGTGTGTGTGTAGAGTCCCCGGGACCGAGCGCTCTCTCTCTCTCTCTCTCTCTCTCTCTCTCTCTCTGTCTCTCTCTCTCTCTCTGTCTCTGTCTCTCTCTCTGTCTCTCTCTCTCTCTGTCTCTGTCTCTGTGGTAGTAAGGATTGGGTAGGGCCTTGTATGAATTATGCAAGTTTTTTGCCACTGAGCTATACTACTAGTCTAGTTTCTGTTCTTTACAGATTTTTAGGCATTGTTTTGCTTTCTGTGGTGCTGGGAATCGAGCCTTCCCACTGAGCTGTCTCTCCTAGCCCCATTTTTATTCTTCATACTGAGAGGAAGTCTTGCTAAGACTTTAAATTGCCCAGACTGAGCTCCAAGTTACCATCCTCCTGACTCAGCTTCCAAGATGGCTAGCATTACAGGTATGTGCCACCACACCCAACTTGTAGGCACATTTTAACACCACAATAGTCTATTTTAAAATCAGGAATTGAGGGGGTGGGATGCTAGGGACTGAACCCAGGCCTTTGAACAAGCCAAAAATATGTACTCTATCGCTGGTTTACAGCCCTTATCCAGGAAAAGAAAATTTAAATGCATTTATATCTGGTAATTCTTTTTGCTTTATTTCAGTTTTAAAGACTACATTTTTTATATGTCACTTCATTTTTTATATCATGAAAATCCTGAAATTTATAAAATGCAAAGTGAAAAGTTTTTTTCCAGCATCCCTTTTTGTTTGTTTTCTTTTTGTTTTGAGTGGGGCCTTGCC